GATTTAACTGCGGTGAATGATAGTAGTATCACGGTAGATTTAATCTGCACAGATCAAAGTAAAGCCTTTGATGAGGTCTCTCGCGTGGGTCTTAAATTAAAACTGGAAAGTCTCGGGATCAATTATGAAATCATAGACTGGACATATGACTTTCTAGATGAAGGGAAACAACGGTTTTGGGTAAACGGGGCTTTATGTAAAGTCGTGGTGAGTGGAGCTCCACGAGATACATTTGTAGGGGTAAATAAATCCCCAAAATAAATAGCTCTGTAAGTTTTCGACATTGGGTGCTGACCATATGTTTTAGTAGACTCATCTGGCTGAAGGCGCTCGGTCAGGCATCCGCACCAGATCACGTGTGATAACGCCGTGCTCAACTGCTACTGCAATCGCTAGCCAGATTAGATCAGAGAATTCCGATATATTGGTTATCGCCCAATACACTGTTCTGATCTCCGCGACTCTGTCTTTTGATTTCTCTGGGTGGTTACGAATTATATTAGATGTTACTGGTAGAAGCGTTGTCAAACACGGAATACCTGTGCCATCTTCACATTCCTTGGTCCTCTTTTTAACTTTGTGTAGACGACTTACCAACTGTAAATAAATGAATTCACTTGCGTAATGGATGAATATGTGGTCATTGGAAGTCAGTTTTAGCAGTAGTGCAGTGTAAATAAATGACTGTGACAATTCATATCATTACACAATAAGTGAAATTGTATCAACCGAAATCATGGACTGTAGAAATGTAACAGTCACAATATAACCAACTCTCTCAGGACTACAAGTTACTGTAAGGTTAACATTTCCAGACACTTCAGGGTCTTGTAGAATTATGGTCTACTATGATATTAGTACTGCTCTAATAATAGACCTAATCCTGAAATTGTAGATTTGTCATGATATAACTGCCTAATCTATAAGATCTTACGTGGAAGTCACACCATCGGCTACATCAACTCACTGTATCGTATCAATTACCAGTACATTATGTAGAACAAGGTTAGGCTAGAGAAGGAACAATATATTTAATATGAATAGAAGATATAAGGTAACATTCCGCAGAGACCACGCCTGCATGGCCGAGCCATGCCACTCGATCAACTCCAGTCCATTCAATTCCTTCTCCGCGCCTTCTCCATTGTTAGGTATTTCCCCGAGTTAAATATTGAATATCTATTTTCTGAGTAGTCTCGTGTTCACAGCTTTGTGGATTGTGTGGCTATTGTCCAATGCCACTACAGTCTCGCGGTCTATTCGTGATTCATTTCATTTCTGGAACAAAGAAATATTTATGGTATTATATCGTACTTCTGTTAGGTGGCGTTTGAAATACGGTATTGAAGCTGTGAGTCCTTGTTTCAGGTATGAGGCGGATATACAGGGATGGGTTTAACGATGAGGGAGCAAAATGTAGAAAGGTCCCACTGTCCTGTCTGATGAAGATGAACTGAGTAGCTTCAACCTATTTCAGTTATTTCATCTCATGCTATTGGCTGATTTAATGGTGGCTTACTGTACAGTGAACGATGATTTTAGCAATAATATGTGTTATCATTTCATTTCATTTCATCTAGTACTTATCAGCTGAGAGAACATTCCAAGAAAGTCCAAAAGTCGAGGTACAATCGTTTACGTATAGAGTTCCGTTCTTTTCCTTGAGAATCGATTACTGAAATTCTCGACGAGAGTACGTAATACCAGCAAGTCCCGTTGATGCATTCAAAGCGAGGTTAGATCTTCGCAGTATTACAAACTACAAGGATTAATGTGAATCGATTGACCTGTCCTCATTAATAAAGACTCAAGACTGGAAGGAAACATCTAAGCCCTCAACTGAAAGAATCGGTGACAAATCTACTATCGTCATAGAAGCTTTGCAAATAAAAACTCCGTTTATTCCACCCGACTATGGAACGTTAAGTTATTGGGTATTGAACAGTTCGTAAAGTACGGTTTGAAACTTGTATCAATTTTCACTCACAATTGTCGTATTTGTCTGGCAAGTTATTACGATTAAGTCAACATTTTTTTCCATCCTAGCAATTTATGTGTAAATTCATACTTTTCGTTAAAATTTGCTTTTGTCATAACGGTACAGAAATATTTTAGTTCAAGATTTTGTCTTTGTTTCCATATTGTAAGGGGATTGGGTGCTCATGAACTGCCTTTCTAAAACCCGTTTTGGGCTTCATTGAGGGTGTTGTTTTTATGTATGTATTCCTACATTTTTCATTAACCAGTCCTTCCATTACCTTCGACTATATTGGGAGTAATGCGACTAGTCTGGAACAGGATAGGTTTTTTCTATCTCTCCTTTGAATATTGGAGAAAGTGGCCTGCTTCCGTTCTCTTCGGAGTTGGCGTGAATCTAGTGAATACCTGAACATGTCACACACCAATGTACCGATGTCTTCTCACTGTTTCAGGGTTATTAGACGGATGTTGTTACATACTGGTGACTTACCTAAGCGCAGGGATTTTTGTCTCTTTAATACTAACCCGAGAGTTAGTTGGATGTATCTCAGACCCTCAACTGCCACTTGAGTTGAGGAGTGTCCTGTGCTTTTAGCTCCTGGTTTAGTTGGTCTATGAAGTGATGATTGGAGATATCTGCCATCTCCAAGTTAGCAAGATCTTCGCCATTTGACCATTTAAGAGAGCAGGTCGTTTGGTTTGTAGGCTTTCTTCTGGCCATGAATCTGCAGAGATATTTGGGGTTAGCTTGCATTTTAGCCTCTAGCTTGGTCTGAACACGTATATCACTTCAGATTTTTGTGTTGCATCTGTTCCTACATGTCAGGTAAGAACTGCGACCAGATTCCTTCAGATGGGACCTTCCACCTGCGTCAGGCTCTCTGTTTGACCTGTAAAGATATGAACAAAAAAGTACTTGTATGGAAGGATAAGAGTTTTATAATATCCAGTCTAGGTATCTGGTGATTCGGTCGTGGACCTAAGTAAACATAGAGGCTGGATATACCTCTTTTCGATAGATAAGTTTGGTTTACTGGAGCTAGTCGAGATAGCTTTAGCTGTTTAGAGGAGTCATAATTGATATTAAACAGAAATATTCATCTATCTCAATATGACGTTCACTATCTACCAACCAAGAAGAAATGGCTCTGTTAATTAAATTGGTGACTTTCTTTCCAAACCATGCTGATACATGTTCACGAGCACGCAAGGGTAAAGCCGTTCAGGTATGGAAAATGTAAATAGCTCTACAGGAGCAGTTGAATTGTTATACATACATAGAGAAGCTCATTATCATTAACCTACCCTTGATTTGTTGTGCAAGTACTGGTTTGGTTGAAATTACATGTAACTTGGAGGAGTGAAATGTCCTATCAACCGATCTTTTGAGTCGACATGTTAAAAATTTTCACGCCATATCCCCTTTAAAATCGAGTTTTAGATAGACGTTTTGCTGACCGTGTCAGTAAAAGATGAACTTGATAATCTATTTAATCAAAAATCCGTCTTAAACCAGCTGTTTAATGACAGACCTTTAATAGTTAAAATTCTTAAGAAAGTATTCAAAGCCTTTGTGAAAAGTATTTAATTATCGAGATAAAAAAGCTGTTCCAAACTATGTACAAATCACAAAAATTATCTGTCAACAAATACATCCGAGAAACTAAATCTTTTCCTGAAACTTTGGTGGTTCTAGGGACGATTTGTTCTTGGTTAGAGGTAAGTGGTAACTATTCACGATAGTTATACGTAACTTTTAGTTATTAGAAAGCTCTTTTAAAAAAATAAATAGTTAATAAACGAACGGTCGTTACATTCGTTATCTTTATAGTCGATGATCAAGGATAAATAAATTATGTAAGAACTGAAGTATAAATGTTTTAGAATATGTATTTCAGTAGTCTAATTAAATAGCATGTACAGTAGTAGTAAGGTCAAAGTATAGTAGGACTGAGTGAATATAACTGGGCTGGAATAGTATTGAAATAACACCAGAATTAAGCTTTTTAATTGAGTCGGATTTATGTTGACACTGGCACTGGTACCAGCAATTGTATTGAAATAGAAATAACACTGACAATATAATATCCAACAATTGTATTGCAGTGAGGTGAATCCAAGATTATATTAGATTGGTCTAATCTGCATCGTGTTGAAATTAATACAAACTGTTCAAAGTATCAATTAGTCAGAGTGTTTTGAGAATCTATCCATCAATATGATAGATGAATATGATTAATAAATAGATAGATAGACAAGTAAACAAACAATGAAGACATTCAATTTAATCACACAACTGATCACAGGTTAAGCAATAGAATTGAATTATCGCGGTTGGCAGTCATATGTCGTATTCCAACCATGTTTATTTATCATGTCTGTATTAAATGACACGATCTAGTTCATAGAAACCCTTCCTATCTCGTGAAAAGTCATTGGATCCTATCACGAAGTAAAAATTAAACCCCAGAAAATGTTTTTTTGCTCTTCCATTTTTTGTAGCACAGATTGAAACAGTAGTTAGTTGATCTGGTTTATATTTTTACTATGTTCTATTTTTGCAACTGTCTTTAGTTCTTCAAAAAAGATACTGAACTGACGAATGTAAGACCACCATTGAGAATCTGGGAACTGTGAACGGCCTTCTCGTCCTCGTATGAGAACCTTCAACAGTGTGCATCCACGATCCTTTACGAGGGATTCGAAACCAGGACCCATTGTGTTACGCGCGAACGCTTAACCTCTAGACCACTGAGCCGGCATCCAACGGTGTTAATGTCTAACTTCAACTAGTCTGCGACGTTGCGCGATCGTTGAGTGCTTAGTACTTTCACGTTTTCAGTGGTGTTCTAACATCTATAAGTCCATGATCTTGATTAAAGCTTAATAACCTCAAAACCATATACTGATATAATTTTCTTTTGAAACTAGGTCCGTTACAAATAAATCACAACGGTCCTTTTTTGTTGATCACAATGACGACTTTGCATCCGTAATCTACACACATTATAGCTTACATTATGGGAACAAGTCAAATTCAGAAAATTCTTCCGGTCCAATTAAAAAAAACATGTATCTCAATAATATCCGGACAGTTATTATCTATACTGATTGGTCTTACTGCAATATGTAATGGTGTACTTTCTAAATATAATATAAATTTACCATTAACTATAAATTTTCCACATTATTTTTTATTATTATTTTTCTATGGAGTTCCTTATCTTTGTTTTAATCTATTTAAGAAATTAACTCACTCTAATAATAATAACAATAAAAATGAACCGATTAGTAATACTTTAAATTACAATATCAATGATAGAACTATTACAAATTATAATAGTAATCCTATTATTGACAATGAACAAATTATTATTTTACCTAATTCTGAGAAAACTTTTATGCAATCATTATTAGTTCGTTTTAGCTTTTATTCATTAATTGCTATTATTGATGTTCATGCTAATTGGTCCATTGTAACTGCATATGCGTATACAAGTGTAACTAGTATTCAGTCATTAGATTGTATCACTATACCAACAGTTGTATTATCAAGTTATTTTTTTTTATCTTATCGCTATTCATGGAATCATTATATTGGAATAATTTCATGTTTAATTGGTGCTACTGGTATGATACTCACAGATTATTTTATACAATCATCAAATCAGAACATTGTTCATTATGGCAATACAAGTGAAATCCATTTGAATCAATTATATAATAGCACTGTAAACAATCAATTATTTACTGCAAAACAAATTGTATTCGGTGATTTCCTAGTTATTATTGGAGCTATTTCATATGGATTATCAAATGTTCTACAACAATATCTTGTTCTAAAATATGGCATTGTAGAATTTCTTAGTTGTGTTGGTTTAACAGCATCGATCATAACATTAATTTATACTATTTCAATTGAGAAACATTCAATCAGCATGATGCTGTTTAATGTTACGTCTATAGATTTAACAAAAGTTACTAGTTGTTTCATTGGTTATGCTTTGGCAATGTTTCTATTATATTCTTTAATGCCATTAATTTTAATGCGTTCATCTGCTATTCTAGTAAATTTATCATTACTTACATCCGATGTTTATGCTGTATTGATGGATATTTTTATATTTCATCATAGTTTTCATTATTTATACATTTTATGTTTTCTAATAATTTTACTCGGCGTTGGTGTATTCAATGTAAATGAACCAGTTATTACTGATAAAAAAGATCACCAATCGAATTGTTTCCACTTGATTTCACAGAAAACTAAATTATAATCAACGAGTTAATGAAAATTTAAAATTCTTTATATATATGGATGAATGAATTGCTCTGTATTAGTTAACATATCGATATGAATTTCTGTGATTGCGTAGAATTATTTGGTTTTTATTAAACATGAATTAATTAAAGTTTACTCACTATCTGATTAAAGTTGTTCTCATCACGTAAAACACCTAAATTTCTTAATGTAAGTACATGTGCTGTTCCAACGTATTCGTGCATAGATTTTGTAAAACCATTTTTTATTGTGTCTAATTAATATGTAAGGGTTTAAGCTATTCTGTTGTTTATATTCTTGATTGGATTTTGATCACTCTTAGTTGGCATATATGCATCCTGCGTGAATTTTCTCGATATAGCTATTTCATGAAAAGTTTTACAGGAGGAATGGATAAAGCTTTCGGTGTTTAGACCGAAATGCACCGCGTTCTAGTTTTTATGTGAAAATCAACACGGAAATGCAGCTACATCTAGCCGACTTGTCCTAAATAAAACGGAAACCGATTCCTGAATTCCACTGCTATCTATAATCTATCTCTTCTTTAGTACTTAGCTAATATTTAGATTCCAATATTTCAAATACCACCAATTCACAGTGGTTGGATTATATCATAATTATTTGTTTCATTAAACACAGTTTGTAATCTTTATTATTAACTCGACGACTTACTTAAACAAAACATATTTCAAATATCATTATTGAGCTTCCACGTTATCATGTAAATGGTTGTCATTGAAGGTCACAATATACCTCTGAACCGCTCCATTCAGTTAAGTGACTTGTGAAGAATTGTAGAATATAGTGTCTTCTCATACTGATGTCATGGATAAAATCTGTACCTCAAAGAGATTTTTTTATAGCACTAACCTTTGTTATATGAATGCTTTAATTCTAAGGCTTTCAAAATCTCTCTAAAAATGTAATCAGACTCTATGGCAAGTACGAATCTGCTAGAACTATAATGAATGGTTCTCAGTCAATTAATATGTATAAGACGAAAAATGAAGCCCTACAAAGCTACTGGATTGTTGTTTAGATTTTCTTAACGTCGATGGAAGACTATAATAAACCAGGCAGCGTTTATGTCCTTAGTGTGATGGGATATATGTCTGAAGACGGTTTACACTGCATTGTTGGAACTATTTGTACCTTAAATTTTAAGTCTGGATGAAATATGCTTGAACTCGACTCTGTGGAAGAGGTGACTCAAAATTAATCTTGTCTTTTTCTGTAAAATACTGAACAAACTATCCTTTACATTCAATGAAGTAATTCAATAAGCAGAAATCCCTAGTTATAGCATACGTAACCCTTTTTCATTGGCGAAACAATCTCATTCTAAATCTTCTCTCTATATGGAGCACCTTATCAAGAAATTTTTGAGACCGGAACATTCTACCACAATCTGTCCGTGAGATAAAGTCACTCTCATCCTTTGTTCGCTGCATCGATGCTTACTTCGCCTCTGGAAATGCCTCAAATATTTTCACACCTGTACGTATACCCCGGTTCACAGGTGAGATTATAGGAACTTTATATGTCTAATCGCCTTTGTTACTGAACACACTAAGTAAACCTCCCTATCTGTAGATACTTTACACTGACATCGTCCCTGGTAACCTTAACTAACCTGAATTATATATATATATATATATAGTTTATTTTGCTGGCTAGTGTGAACTGCATTTTATTAATTCCACTTGTAATAAACAAATCTGACGGTTACCTTAAGTGATTTGATGAAGATAAAATTTTATGGCTTATGAAGATGAATTCGTTAGGGAAGGTATCCTTCTCCTCATCAAAATTATTATCCCAAGTACCTTGTTGTAAATTGTTTGAATACTTTTAACATAGACCTCAAATAAGTAGTACTGTCGAACATAGCCGGCCATAACCTTCATCTTGGCACGTCATTCGTGTTTGGTTGTTGTCTTGAATCGCTCGACCTAGATAGACCGGAACAACTACTACTTAAGGTTTTATTGTCTCAGACAAGTCTGTGGGGAAGATGTAGTAACAAAAGTTTCAAATTTAAGGTCTGGAGGGAGATTCCATGCTTCAACTTTATTGATAATGCGCTAGGAGCATGGTATTTCCTACAAACAAAAGATGTCTCTAACAAAGATGGCCTCACAGAACAGAATGGAGACTGGAGAAGTTCAGTCACATTTTTTCACGTTGAAAAGACCGTCATCACATAGTCAATCATTTGGTCACAACGTAGAGCGTGTACGTATATACATCGGTTCAAGTCACCATACCCATTAGCACAGAGATGAAGTTGTCAGGCCAAATCCATGAATGGTAGAGGTAGTAACGATATTTGAAATTATAACATAGTAAAATTATCCGAAATTTCTTGAAAATGTACAGGGTACCACCGAACCCAAACATATTAGACAGTGTCTCCCCAGATGAATTAATGTTGAGAAGGAAAATCCTCACCCCTGTCGTTGTTTTGTACTTGCGGAAAGTAAAGGCTAGAAGTGCTAAACATCAGCTTCCTATGCGATCAATGTGCATAAGAAACATTACACAGTGGGAGGGTTCTCGAATTTTGGGGATCGTTGTAAGGAGCGTTAGTGACATGATTTGGAGAATGAACTCGCGAAGGCAACATCTGAGACACATGAACTACATACAACCTAGGGAGTATTTGGCAACAAAGGGAGCACCTGTTCCCCATTAGTTTGGTGAGAACTAGTTAATTCAAGAAATCAAAGGCAGTATGCAGACTCTAAGAAAATTGTAAAGAAAACGTTCCTCACCTCAACTCATGCAGCTGAACCCCGAAGTGAGGATCTGTTTTCAGAAACGGGGAGATGTTAGGCTGGGTAAAATCAGACATGTCATATGTATGCGCTCATATACTATCTAGAGGTTAAGCTCTAAGTGAAAGATGAAAAACGAGGCACGCTGCTGGATAATGCTGATTTTACACTATCAGGTCTTAGCTTATATATCTGGGTGACGAACGTATATATGTATTATTGGTTAATGTACATTTCATTTGGTTTTCAAATACGGATTCCTGTTCATTGTTAGCCTTTTCATCAGTTTAGTACATTAAGGCAGAGTATAGGAAGCGTTTTTATATAAGTATTTGAATCTAAAGTTAATAAGACGTAACTAAAATTAAGCAGCATTAGACAATTGTTTCGTACGTATTTTCCTTGTCATCTTTTTCTTACCATATAACTATTCTAATTTTTGTATTCATAAGGTGCAATTATATTTCAGTTTATTGCAACCTTGGTAACAAAAAAGTCGAACATGTTTTAGTATAGTTGTAATTCAGCAGTGAAATCCAGAATCCGTGGGTCGTTTTATTTTCAGCATGCCGTTTAGCAGTACATTAACTAGTGCCGACATTGGTGTTAAGACATTAACTCAATACCCAATATTTTGAACACTGAAGCTCTATACTTTTCGTGACTTGGTCACGATAGCTGTGAAGTTGTTTAATGTATGTGCGATTTATTATGAATTTAGTCGATGTCTATTGGGTTCACTTTTAAGTAGGAACATTAACGTTTCAATGCTAATGTATTAAGCTAACGAGTTTAAAACAGCATGAAAAGCACGCTCTGCGTTTAACTCTAAGCCCTCTTATCGAAATATAGTCATTTTGCAAGAAGAATTATTATCAATCCATTCGTTAGAGTAGTCTTAAAAATTGGTTATACTTAGTCATTTAATGTCAGAAAAAACATAATGCAAAACAGTAGCATTTTTCCAACAACCCAAATTATAGTAGAGTTAATGAGCTACAACAAATATCCGTAATTTAATGGCGAGAAGAAAATATATGTTATTGATTCAACTCGATAAAAAATTATGATTAGAAACTACTTAATTTGGTTTAAGTAGTGAGATTCATTTAAATGCTACCTTATCCATAAATTCAATAGGAATTTTACAAATCTATGGGAAACAGTAGTCTCCAAACTAATACTAGTAATAATTATAATGATAATCACAATAGTATTAATGCTGTATTTAACACAATAAATGTTATGCCATGTTGTTTACTTACTTTCTCTAAGCCAATGAAATTGGAAACAATTTTTTTAGAACTATTCATATGTTAATACTTATAGATGATCTGATCTTCAACGCCATCAACTCCCAACTAGGTCTAACCAAATAAAATTGTTAGGCGGTTGAATAGAGCATACAAAAAACCAGGGCCACTATAAAAAGCAAAAACAAACAGACATAGCACTAGTTATACAGTAAGGACTCTTAAAATTCTCAAGTCTTATAGTGTAACTATATTACCATTCAGTTATTAGATTTAGTATATTTTTCTAACAACAGCTAATTTGAGGCATAGTTCATTTGAAGGGGTGTTGTAAAGGTGATTCTACTGCTAAGATTTAAATTAGGAAGCCATAACAATTTACACAACCAGAAATAAGAACACGAAAAGCTGATTCAAATAGGAATTTTTACTAACCCTTCAAAACGTCGTCTTAAGTGAAATATACACTTATCTATGCACATGCTTCTTATAAGTACATACAATTGATCATGAAACATCGCCCATATATGTTGGGACCGTAGAGGGATGGATGATATTTAGTAAAGATAGTAAATTAGTCTCTGAGTTTTTGAACCTGCATTGATTATGGCAGTTAGGATACTATCTAAATCGATGTACTATGTTTTATGGCTTAGGATCAATTTAGAAGAAAGGTAGGGGCAGTCAAATGAAAATATGGCTCCAGTCCATGAAATACCTGGGTGTTGAAATTGTCTAAGTTTGAGGTTGCCTTTGATATAAATTCATAATTAAAGTAAGAGAAATTCAAGAAGAAAAACTCCACCTTTATATTTTCTTCCAATTCATTATCCTTAGCAATTAAATGTGAATTAGTTCTCACAAAAACAAAACCATAATATTTTTAACAAGTTTATTGGTCTCAAGCCGCTTTCATTTTTTTTGGATTTATAGAGTATTCATATTATCCTATACTACA